CATGGAAATGGAAATCAGCTGATGCACCAATATTTTATTAGAACCAGAATTCTAGAAATAGTCAAATCATCAAATCATAGGGACCGACATTAATTTCCTATCCCGATTGCTTCATCAGGCTTATGAGCCACAGTCTGTGAAGGGTCGCGCGCCCCCGCCAACAAAACCTAGCAAAGTTTGACATTTGGAGCTAGCATCGTCTGGCTGACAGGAAGCTGCCATATTAATTATTCAATGATGTCCCGTATAACCGACTCATTTGTCGGCAAATGCTTGTTCAACAGCAACAGGTTTAACAAACTTGCGCTGATCACTGAGGAAATAATGATATCCCTCCGTGCGCTATTCTTATCCAAGTCTCATGACTGTTTTGAAACGTCGCTTCCCGAACTGCCCTCGTTCATAAGCGACAGAAACTGCAGCTGAATATCGACAAGGTAGAGTGGCAAAACTTGAATCCATTAATCATGACTGCTCTGTCGATCAGGCATTCTGAACCACCCCTCCAAACACGTCAAATTCCTGGCTATTGCTCAAAGTGAAGTACGCCTAAAAGCTGACATGTAAACATCTTACAACTTTTTCTGTACTACAGAATAGCTGTGAAATGGTAATGAACTGACAATGCGAATTTCATAAGTTAATAAACGTAGATTAATTGAATGACTAATTGATTGATTAGAAGACAATGAAGTTACTGGAAAGGTGTATCATGCAGGTTGTGTTACGTTCGAGTGCATATCTATCTTTTTTCCAGTTTGCAGCATGTAGACAGCAGGAGCCTTGGAATAATGGCGTTTATCCACAGATTTTCAGTAAGCCAATCCAGTCAATTTCAAAACATGATATCATTGACTACTACTAGATGGATCAGAAAACTAATCAATGAGTCTTAAAGTAATCGAACACCACATTAGCTTCAGAAAATATTAAGAGGATACTATTATTAAAATATTATTAGCAACAATATTTTGGCCATGTCATCAGAAAGAATGGCGGCCATCTAAAAAGGGTTCTCCTGGTGCTCTAAGCATGGATGACGTCGTGCAACAGACACAGCTCAATACATCTGAAGCAGAACAAGTCCTGAAGATCGAAAGCCGCCTTGCCGCTGAACCAGGACAATACCTCATCACCCTCTCCGCCTTCGCAACATCACGATGCGACCATATGATTCGCGTTTTTCCCTGATGAACGGTTTAAAGTGCTGTTTAATTCGTACTTACTGTACCTCCACCTGTTTAATGATGATCCACAAACGACGTAAAAAATACCAATCAGCAACTGAGTCCCACGTATTCTGAATGGAGGAGGCAGAGAGCGCGATGCCATTATAGCACGTCAGAATAGGCTCCACGAGAATGACACCACCAGTGGGAGCTTAAATTCGGAAATTGGAACATATACTCACTCAGAGAAAAAGAACAAGAATTAATTGATGAGGCCATGAAGTACCAACTCGACATTGTTGGACAATCGTCAACAAAACGCCAAGGCTCTAGACTCCTGAACCTCAGTGGATGGAAGCTGTTCTACTCAGCCGTCGACATCACGACTCGCGCTCAGGGCGGTGTTGGCGTTCTGGTAGAACCCAACCTTGCCGATAGAATAATCGATT